ATGATAATATTATGAAAAGTTCTACTGTATATCCAATGTCACCGGAAGCATCACTTTCGAAATCACGGAAAAACTACATTACTGATACGAGCGAATCCCGACCAATGACCATCGACTACATGATTATGATGAAATCTATCGACGATAAAACGCATAACTTTTTCTGCAAAGCGACAAAGTCGATTCGTAATTCTAATATCCAGATTCGAGACATGATCTCGGAGATTATAGCGGAGAAAGTAACAATTCCTGCAAAATCTTCTACAATTAAAATTGCTTTACTATGGGAAAATCAGATAATTGACGATCATCTGAAGATCGTTGGGTCACTTTCGAGTTTATCTTCAGGAACCATACTATATATATTAATAATTCAATCACAAAGTGATGACAACAAAACAAAAAAAAAGTAAGTAAACGCCCGGAAATCATAGTTAGTCAATTTTTTTTACTTTTATTTTCATACACCATTCGATAGAGAGTTTCAAGGCGGTGAAGAATATATGTGCCTTGCGTTTTCTTAAAGGTTTTTCTGATCAAAAAATGAAAAAGCTCAGAAGGTGTCGAAAACAGATAGTTTTGAAACTTTCCATAGATTCTTCTTTTTTTTAGTCATGTTACGAGACATAATCTTCTAACTTAGTTTTTCTGATAGATCATAGAAAACTGAATAAGAGACTAGTGTGTGGATGTGGGTGTACTATATTTATCTCACACTCACACCCTCACGCAAATATACACCATCACCCTACACTCTCACCCTCAAGAGTCACAATAAAAATAGAAAATAACTTCAGACGAATCGATAAACAGGAGTAACATTACAACCTACTGTGAAAAAGTCGTTTTCTGTGTCACGATCATTAATTGAGTTTAAGATTCAGTGATGATGACATTTATGTCATTCTGATCGTTCTTTAATGTATAGAAGGATTATTGAGTTTTAAAGAAGGTTATTTATAAAAATAAAAAGTTATCTTTACTCCTAGTTTATCAATTGAATCACCTCAAGTGGTAACTCAAGATTCAACAGTACAGAATAATCAATCTTTTACATACGAGGTAATATCGTCTCAATCATATCCGATCTGCAAGGGGATTTTTGTATATTACAATCCTAATGAAGATAAATTATCGAAAAAAGAGAGCAACTCAATGTCACAGTATGTCATTCTGGAAGATTTCAATTCAGAATCTACATTAACAACGATCAGAGATAAGGCAGTGACGGATCTTAATATTGACAAAGAAAACATCAATTTATACTTCAATAACGAATGCATAACGAAACATAGCTCGCTAAAAACGCTCGAGGACTTTCGAAAGAAGTACAGAATGATGGAAAACCAGCCCCTGATATCATTTTCACTGAAGAGAGAAGCAAATCGAAATTCTTCTCAATCTACTAAGGTTCGTATGAAAAAAAAAACATCCTATTTCAATACCAATGCATTATTGCTATTTGGGTATCTGTCAATGGTAGATGTATTATTCCATAATAGATACAAGAAAACATTGAATCAATTCTTTATTTGGTTTGACAAGGACAAATCAGGACTTTTAGACAACAAAGAAGCGATCATTGGTGTGTTGACTGTGTCAAGATTGATGTCAAAAAGCAACGATCTTTTTCCAGTTTTTGAGGTTTCTGAAAAAGCTACTCCTAGAACAACGTGGAGTTTTTCAGAATTTCAATATTTAATATTGAACACACTTATCATGCATGTGAACCATAAGACTCTACTCCATGAAGATGAAGACGCTTCAGATACAAACTGGATGAAAACAAAGTTTAAAAATGTAAATAGACGATATTTAGACTCAGTGGAAGACGCTTCAGATACAAACTGGATGAAAAAGAAGTTTAGAAATGTAAATGAACGATATTTAGATTCATTGGAGACAATACTAAAAGAGAAAACAATAATACCAGAACGTGAAACATGGAAGTTAGTTTTTTGGAAAGAATTATTTATGGTTACTGCAACCTGCTTGGGCTTATTAGCTTGCATGCCAATTTTTATTTTTATTTATATACTTAAATTTTTCATCAAAGTAGGCTCTGATGCTACTAACAAGTGTAGAAACTTTTGTTTCTATATTGCGATCATTGTATTTACCGGATTCATGTCTATTCTCTCGTTGGTTGTGTATTACGATGTTTTTGCTATAGCACTGTATCATTATTATTCGGATGAAATGTTCACATGGAATACTGTTTTTCTCGAAGCCTACTGGCCATTTATCATACATATCTATTTTGTACTTATGTTGTGGTTATATTTATTTCACGAAAAAGCGGATTATAAAAACAAAAGTACGCCAGCTCGTGTCCAGCGTTATTATGAGAACGCGAAATTTAATTACTACCGCCAAAACGCATTACCAGTCACACCTAATGACGAATTGAAAGAACCAAAGGATACTGTTAAAAACAATGCATCAACACTTGTCTGCGCAATAACTTCCTTTGCTTTTCTGGGAATCATCGCTCTTCGTCAGGCAACCCCTGAGTTGATTCGTAAATATGGTCAGTATGTTGAGTTCGATAATTCTACAGCACTGGACTATGCTAATGCACCATGGCAAGTTAACTATGTTCAGAAATCGTATATAAGTGGAGGAATTATATGCAGTTTGTACTTTTTTTCAATAATTGCTTCTAGTTGTTATATCTACGCTAACCTAGCTGCACAAGTTAGTGATATCATAGCTAGTGCAACAAACGATGAACGCTTCATTGCACATAACTCTAATCTCTACTATGATATAAGAATACCTGCCAATTTAGACTACTTCCTTGCTCGGCTCAAGGAAACAGTAGCCAAAAGAGATCGACATGGCTACTTTCTTGCCAGTGTTACCTATGCATTCATTATTGATATCATATTTATACTGATTGTATTGCAGCGCTTGTTCTTTGTTACTACTACAATTAATGCGATTACTATTCTTTTGCTAATTGATATTATTCTGTTGTCATTAGTTGTCATCGCATTTTTAGTGATTGTTGCTCATATTAATCAGACAATAACAACAGACGCTCAACAACTAATTAAACGCACAATAACGGAAACAACAGCAAAGCTCATAAAATCCCGACCTCTACTCGCTGGTAGAGATAATAATGAGATTCAACCGCTGAATGACTCAATACAATATCTCTCGGCAAAAGCTGATTTTATTGCAAACGAGAAAAAAAGTTACCGTATACGACTCTTTCGATGGATTGTCATTGACATGGACTTAGTAGGTTCGGTTACACTGTCACTTTTTGTTGGAATCGTTTCATCAGTGTTCTCATTCATTAAAAGTAAATCATTACTTGCCTAACTTCAGTCTAAAATATCTCTGAACAGAAACTTTTTCTCTTGATTCATTTTTCTATTTTTATCTATTTTCTGTTTGTTCTTTCTGGGCTAAAATCTTACAGTGATCCTGACGGTGAAGGCGAATGTGAGGATGTTTTTCTGACCTTCAACCCTTCTCCCACTCACAAACTCACCTCCAACAGGATGTGGGTGTAGGTGTGGATAAATGTTAGCGTGAGTGTGGGTGTAAGTATAAGTGTGCGTGTGGGAGAGGATAAGAAGAATATCTACACCCACGCCCTTAAGATATCTTTAATTATATCTATTAAATGTTTATTATAATTTATTATGCATCAATTAGATAAAAATACAAAATAACTTTAAAAACATATAGTAACAAGTTTCAATTCAGTACATCAATCTCATGACAACAGGTAATGAAAGAAAGAAAACAAATTAAATACATTAGGTCGCACTTTCACCTGAATTTATTAAATTGCAATAAATTAAAGCGTTTTATCAACAATTTATTTATTCATCTTTCATTATATACACCGCAGCTATTACCTAAAACGAAGGTACTTATATAAAATATCAGCCCGATTCGATCAAGTGGGTCTTCTCTGAATCTCCATACGCGACATTCACACCCTCAAGATATTTTTTAACGTATATTATAAAGTGAAAAAAGAATAAATGTGACAATTTAATTTTATTATGTCAGTTAAAATTAAGCTAATTGAAGTCGAATTTGATCATCTGCACCATAAAGACCAATATAAAGTATCCATGGAAATGGACATTTTATAGTAGAAACACTAATTTCATGTACCAAAGATACTGATTCATTTCTTAAACGTATTTTGTGTCGATCACAATCAATAAATAATTCAATCATATGATTTATATCCATTTCACATTTAAAAACATCATATTAATGATGATGAAGATGACCTGTCTAACTATATACAGTTGGAGTTTTATATAAACTTGATCTTAAAGATGCATGTTGTGATATAATACCAAAAAACACTCATTTAGGTATACCTGATTTTTCGATTTGAAAACGAAATTGATGCGTTCCAGAATAATATTCATTTTTTCCACAAACTATTGCATCACCATTCGTTGAACCATGAGTAATAGAATAATTCATATTATTTGTTTGATTTTATCTATAAATGAATTTTTCTAACCAAGATCTTATATCATTTTCCATCGTATTCGTTTCTATACGAGCTTTATTTAATTGTTGATTAATTTGTCGAAATATTTCATTCATTTCAATAATATGTTTCATAAAAGCATTTTTAAATTGCTGTCGAATTTATTTTGCTGTTTGTTGAATTTTTAAAATTTCTTTACACAATGCTGAACAAGACAATTTTTCTTATATAACTGAAGTCATGAAAATGTGTTAGAGGTTTTACTTTTCTTGTATTCTCGTAGAAAAGAAGACAAATATCGGATTCTATCGCCTTTTTTTTAAAACATTATACGACAATAGAAAGGTATTAAACTTGAAAAAAGTAAAAGGGATATATATTTTTTTAATGCATAAAATTTTATAATTATATTTTAACACGACATTGGAAGTATTTCTGAAAGTGCATTAATATAGTATGTACCATTTCCAATTGTAGGAATTAATGATGCACCATTTTCATTCCAAGCATAAACAATGACTGTTTAAGCTTCAGTAATATTCTTATTTGTGCAAGTCAATTGTATTGAACTTTGAAAAAAGTTTTGTAATTCTTTTGCAGTTGGTTGTAAGAAATGTTCTGGACCTTGATCAACCCATAGTACAGGATGTTCAGATCGTGGACGTGGATCCCAACCAGTTGGGAGTGGTATGACAACTTTTCCACCACTTTGAATAGCAAAATTCCACCATCTGATGAACGAAATGGAGAACCCTATGAACAAATATTATTATTATTCTTGGATATCTTTAAGAAAAAAACATTTACTTCTACAGTTCCACCACATCCAATTCCGTACGATGATATTGCATCAAATCTAATGGCATCAACACGAGTTTTACATCTTGCTATATCACCATCCATTAAAACCATGTATGGATTCTGTAAACCTAAAATAATATATATATATATATTTTTTTCTTTTGAATTATTGAAACAAAACGCACCTCGATTAATAACTTTTTGTCGAAAATTGTTAAATACTCGTCTACTACCTTCCCATCCACCTCCACAAAGTTAATAGAATGAAATATATTTGCTTGATAAATATCGATATAATCCATAAGCTGGATTTTGTGGGCAATATCGATTAGCAGTTTGATTATAATATTGAGTACAATATACTGAATTAGTTGTACAATTTGATCCAAATGCACAATAAGTATCAAAAGCCCAATAATCAAAACCAGCATATCTTGCATACACAATTTCTTGATCCATTATTTCTTGCATATCACCATTGATAGTAACATTTGTATCTGAATTAACTTTAGCAAAAAATGGTAAACGATAATGAAAATGTTCTGGACTCATCGCTCGATGAAAATAATATGATATTGCATCATATTGTCCATTGATTAAATTCCAAGCATCCCAACGAATTATACCTACTGTTGGACGATTTATATTGTTAACTTTAGAAGTAACCACAAAAGACCACGTACATAAAAAAATACAAAAAATATTGAAAGATAATAACATCTCAGACATTTGCTTCTAATGTGTTTAAATAGAAGACTTCTCATAGGTAATAAGTAATTATGATGCTATGATTAATCTCGTTTTAATCTATTGTTTTACTGAAATAAACAAGTAACGTTCATCGAATACGACTGTATTTACATACGAATGGGAGTTAATCAATATCTGTTTTGACTTTCAGCAGAAAATCAAATATACAACAATTAAAATTTTAAAATTACCAAATTACAATGCGTACGTTTTTAAGCGTCTTATTTTATTGAGTCGTTGTACAGGACGTTTCGGCACATCATCGTTTTTTTCAAACATGCATTAAAAATATTTGTGGATGATGATGATAAATGACATGCTATAAAATGATGATCTATATATAATTAAGAAATATTTAGCTCGCGCCGTGTTGATACAATTATATTATCAAAAATAATACATGTAAATAGATAATTCCCATTTCTAGACCCTATCCTTTCAGTCCAGGGAATTTATTTAATATTTTTTATTATCATGTGGTTTTATTATATAAAAAAAGAGAATGGCTAAAATAACAAAAGCTATATTTTTCCAGTATTTTGAAATATGATCTGTAAATAATTGTTTTCGTCGACATTCTATTAAATGTTCTTGAAGATTTTCTCGACAACCTTTCCATCCACAATTATCGGTACAATTAACTATTTGTTTTGGACATGTACAAGATATATGATCATTAAAATTACTTCGTTGAATATTCATTTGTTGACATAATGTACATTGAACTAATAAACGATTTAATTGATTTAATACAACTCGACTAATGACAGGTAAAAATTGATTGCCTATTTGTCGACATGACGGACAAGATAATTGTTGTTGCATCCATTGCATAATACATTCTTGACAATATGTATTTCCACATGAATTACAATTCATTGGTGATTGAAATGGTTCATTACATATACTACATTTAAGTTCAATATCAATTTCATCTTCATTTGTATATATATAAGTCATATATTATGATAAAAAAAAATATACGTCGTAGTACTTTATGCTATTTGAAACGTGATTTCTATTTGTCTTCTAACGATGTGTGAGGTGATAAGCAGAACGAAAGAAAAAAAAACACACACAATTTTCTCTCTTGTGTACTACTGTCTACCTTTCTGTAC